GGAGTGAAGGTCGGGATCGAGCCGCGCGCCGTTCAGCCGAGACCATAAAGCGCAGGCGCCTCCAAGACGTGTGCCTCGTGGGTGCGGCGGCGGCGGGCATGATGATGCCGGAGATGATCAAGGCGGCGGCGATGATGGCGGCGGTGATGAAGACGACCATGGTGATGTTAGCGGCGATTGAGGGCGCCGATGGTGAAGATGGCAAGTCGGCGGAGGTGAAGACGGCTTGACCCTCGCGCTCTGCGCAGAGGCGTCGTCGACAGAAGAGCGAAGCTCTCGTAGTGGGAAGATGAGCGCCGTGGCTGCCGGGAAGGCCGAAGTTGCGCCGCCGATGACGCCGCCCCCAAATTTGCGCCAGGGATGTGTAACAGTGGCGGGGCTGTGTGGCTTGCTTGCGTTTGTGCGTCGGTGGGAGAGGCGTGGGGTCTACGAGTGGAGGGGGCGCAGGCGCCCACGAAGCAGCGTCGACGCACCTGTGAGCGGGATGGGAGCGGGGGTCGTTTCTCGCCGGCCAGCGGAGGGGCAGGGGCGAGGGCGAGGCCGGAAAGCAGAGGATCGCCTTGTCAGTTGATGTCAATAGCAAAGCTCGGCCCTACGAACTCCGGCGGCTTGCAGCTGTGAAGAAGGCCGCGGGTAGTCCCCCCCTCCCCAGGGCCTCCAGGGCTCGCACCTCAACCTCTCACAGACCAGCGCGCAGCGCCATAGGAGGTATTTTCTTCTCAATAACAAGGCTTGTGAATCCCTGGGTTTGTCTCTCACACCCTCACTGTCGTCAAACAAAAACAATCTGTCGTCGCATGCGAGGTTCTTGTTTCTTATCACCCTACTGTGAATTGCGTACTAGCTAGTATTGCACACACTCCGTGCAGCTGTGTGTGTGTGTGTGTGTGTGTGTGTGTGTGTGTGTGTGTGTGTGTGTGTGTGTGTGTGTGTGTTTGGCCTAAGCACAATATTCTCGAATATCTCCGAGAATATAGATGGTCCCGCGCACTTTCGTATTCGAGAATATTCTCGAGAATATAGATGCCCCGGCGCGGCTTTTTCTCAAGAATCTACGAGATTTCTTCAGCCCTTGACCTTGGTTGACCTCGAGTGTCAAGATATTCTTGAATATTCTCGACGTTACATCGCGGCGTCTATAACGGTCTTGACTACAGCTTCTCGAAGCAGCTCTTTTGCCCCCTCAACAGTAGGTTTTGGGTCGATGCACACGGAAATCTTTAAGTTTTGGACGTTCCTGAGCGGTTTGGGAGCACAAACCTCTACTTTAGAGCGATTTTTGGCGTCCGCTGACCTCTCGCGTGGGGAAAATATTCTCAATATTCGAGAATATTCTCGAGAATATAGATGGGTCTGGCGAGAATATAAGCAAAAGAATATAGATAGTACTTGGCGAGAAAAGCGTGCTTAGGCTAAG